TATGGGCCAAATGCTGACAGATGGACTAGATTAATTTAAGATATCTGGTCAGCATGGACGAATTGGACCGAAGGGTCTGTTTCTGTGCTGTACATCTCTGTGACTCTATTACCTGCTGAATCTGTGTGCTAGTTTTCTGTATTGCGTGCACAAGTACCTCCAAGTCCCTTTTGTGTTTCAACTTTCTGGCAGTTTTTCTCCATTTAAATAATATTCTGTTCTTTCTTTTATTCTCCAACTGATCAACTTTACATTTCCCCACTTAACCTATCAATATCTCTCTGTGATACTAAGAACTGCTGATGCTGGAGTCAGAGATAACACAGTGTGGAACTGGAGCAATACAGCAGGCCAGGCAGCATCAGAGGAGCAGGAAAGTTGACGTTTTGGATTGGGACCCTTCTTCAGAAATGGGGAGGGGGAAGGGAGCTCCAAAATAATTAGAGAGATCGTGATAGGACCATCTCACTTACCTTCTCCCCCCTTACCCCTCCTCTATTTTATTTCTGTGTTCCTCCAGTTCCACACTGTTATCAATATCTGTCTGTACTGTTTGTATCCCTCTTGCAATATTCTTTTCCACCACTTTGGTCATCTCTAAATTTGGCTACAGTGCATCCACATCCTTCATCCAAGTCATTAATATATTGTAAAAACTTACGGTCCCAGCAATGATCCCTGTGGAACCCCACTTGCTGTTTCTTGGTGATGAGCTAATTCTCAATCCACGCCAATATACTACTTCCAACACTGTGGACTCTTATCTTATCGTTTGTGTGGTACTTTGTTGAATGCCTTGGAAGTCCAAATACAACATATCTGCTGGCACCCCTCTATCCATTCTGGTTGAGACTTCCTCAAAATTTTTATAAATTAGTCAGACACTATTCCCCTTTCATGAAGCCATGCTGACTCTGTTTAATTAGATTACAATTTTTGAGATGTGCTGATTATTACTTTCTTAATTGATTATAGCACTTTTCCAACAATAGATGTTAGGCTATTGGGCCAAAAGTTACCTGCTGTTTGTCTCCCTTTCTTTGAATATGGTATCACATTCACAGTTTTCCAATCCTCTGGTACAGCTTCAGAATTGTAGATGCATTGGATCTAATATTGCAAAAACCCACCATCTCTGTAGCTACCTCTTTTTGGGATCCTAGGATGCAAGCCATCAGGACCAGGGGATGTACCTGCCTTTAGCCCCATTTAGTTTGTCTACTACTGCTTTCATGATGGTACTAGTACTTAATTCCTCCCCTGTGTTCTTTAGTATTAATGGGATGAATGTATCTTCCACCATAAAGTCTGATGCAAAATGTGTTTTAACTTCTTTGCCATTTCCTTGCTCCCCATAATTGTCTCCCCAGATTCATTTTCTAAGATTCCTATGTTCCCTGTGACCTCCTCTCTTCCTTTTGTTTTTAAAGAAGTTTTTATTGTCATTTTATGTTCTTTGCGAGTTTGCCCTCATAGCTTATTTTCTCTGTCTTTATCTTTATCATCTTCATTGGAAAAATTCAGAATCCAGCCAGTCTTCAGGGTGATTACCAACTTTGGCCTCCGCTATATGTTTTTTTTTCCTTCAACTTAACACTTTCCTTTTAACTTCCTTGGTTAGCCAAAGAGTCTCCTCTTATAGAATATACTTTTGCTAAGAATCACAAATTACCTCTTTTAAATGTTTATCACTGCTTGCTTACTGTTGTTCTTGTAAATCTATTCACCCAGTTCACTTTTTAGCTAATTTATCCTCATTTCATGGTAATTTCCTTTATTTAAGTTAAACACAATTGTTTCTGACCCAGGTTTCTCATGCCCTAACTGAATTCTAAATCACCAGTTCTTAGGCAATCTTTTAATCAGTGATTATTTATTAAACCTACCTCATTACCAGATCCAAGATAGCCTGCTCCCTGGTTGGTTTCATGATTCATTGCTCTAGGAAACTATCCCTAATGCAGTTTGTGAATTCATTTGCCATAGTTACTTTTTATTCCACATTGATTAACCCAATCAACATGAAGACTGAAGTCATCCATAATTAGCGCTTGATTATTTTTGTACTGCTATCATTTTATTAATTTAATAGCCTTTCCTTCAGAATGGCTACTGTTTGGGGGTCTCTACACAACTTCTTCTACCAATGTCTTCACAGAATCCCTACAGTGTGGAAACAGGCCATTCGGCCCAACAAGTCCACACCGCCCCTCTGAAGAGCATCCCAGCCAGACCCATTCCCCTACCCCTGCATTTCCCATGTCTAACTCACCTAACCTAAACATCCCTGGATACTATGGCAATTTCGCATGGCCAATCCACCTAGCCTGCACATCTTTGGGAGGAAACCCACACAGACATGGGGAGAATTGTGCAAACTCCACACAGACAGTCACCCAAGCTGGAATCGAACTCTGGTCCCTGGCACAGTGCAAACCACTGAGCCACCGTGCCGCCCCTTTGACAAAAATTCCCTTGCTGCTTTTTTTTTTAAACCTCTGCCAAAAATGGACTTTACATTATCTGAGCCCAGAACACCTTTCACAACTGTCCTCATTTCAGCTCTTAACAGTGCTACCCCACCACCTTTTCCAATCATCCTGGACTCTCTGAAAGGATAAATACCTGTGAATGTTAAGTTCCTAGTTTCGATATCCTTGGAACCATGTTTTCATAACGGCTATGAGATCATACTCATTTACTTCAATCTGCGCCATCAGTTCATCTGAATATTTAATGTATGAAGCATTTGGAATAAGATACAAAGCCTAAGAGCTTGTTCTACTATCAAATTTCCCTACAGATTCTGTCCCTTCCTTTATTTTCTGGTAACAATCATTCCTATCATTAACCTGCAAACCTACCTCCTTCCTTTACTTTTAATTTTCAAATTCTCCATGCAAACAAACCCACAAACCACCCCCTATTTAGTTTAAAGTCACATCTACAGCTAGGACCCTGATCCTACCATTATTCCGGTCTGCTCGTCTCCATGGATCAGCTCCCTACTTCCCCAGTTCTGTTGTGAATGTCCCACGAGTTTGAACCCATTTCTCCCCCACACCAATCTTTGAGCCATGTGTTTACCTCTTTTTTTGATCTTGTTGACCTTGTGCTAATTAGCCTGTGACTTGGGTAGTAGTCTGGAGTTTTACTTTTTTTTGGTTCTGCTTTTTAATATAGCTCCCAGCTGCTCCTATTCCCTCAGCAGAACGTCCTTCCTCTTTCTACTTATATCTTTGGTATATATATTATCTACGTGGACCATGATAACTGGATGTTTCCGCTCCCATTAAGTTCCTCTGCAACCCAGATGAGATTGTGTTCCCTGTCTGGTGCCTGGACTCAATCTTCAGACTCTTGATTCTGACAACAGCGAAGTGTCTATTCCCCTAACTATACTATTCCCAAATACAACTACATTTTCTCTTTTCTTCCCCTCGTAAATGGTTCCCTGTACCATGGTGCTATGGTCAGTTTGCTTATCCACTGTCAGATCCTGCTTTTGACCACATGGGGAGCAAGAATATGAAACCTGTTAGCCAAGCTCAAAGGCTGATGCTTCTGCAGCACTCCATCTTTAATCCCTCTACTGCCTTGCTCATAGGCACCCTGTCCTGTCCCTGACCACTGACCAAATTTGAGGTGATTAATGTAAGGGATGTGACTGCTTCCTAAAGCAGCATCCAGGTAACTCTTGCCCCCCCCCCCCCGATGTGTCACAGTATTTGAAGCTCAGACTCCATCTCATCACCTGAGTCAGAGTTCCTCAAGCAACTAACACTTGATGCAGATGTGGTTACTATGAATCACAATGGAGTCCACCAGCTCCCATATCACACATGTACAACACATCACCTGGCCCTGCATCTCTGTTTTAATTCCTTGGTTCTCAATTTGGTTTTTAAAAAATTCCTAATGGGCATACTACTTTTGAGATTAGAAGGGAAAAAAATCTCCGATGTGAATTTGTGAATTTTGTATCATAACTTGAATCTTTTGAGTTCATAATTTATGTTGTCATGATGTTTATCTATAATTAGTAATAAATTACAACTCAAATGCTGAGTAATATAGCACTGGAGACCATTCAGCACTTTGTTCGTCCAACACCCTGCTCTTTCCCATATCCCTTTTAATTTTTTTCTGTTTCACGTATTTCTTTAACTTCCTTTTGAAGGCTACTTTTGAATTTGTGTGAAACCAAGTCCAGCAGGTCTGGCAGCCTCTGTGGAGAGAGAAACCAAGTTATTGTTTGGATTCTAATGGGCTGCTTCAGAACTGAAGAGCAAGACTTGATTTTTAAATGCCGTCATCAAATCTTCTCTTGGATTCTGCTCTAAGCTGAACACCTTCAGCTCTGTTCAGTCTTGCCACCAAAAAGTAAACAGCCTGTACCCTTTACAAATGGCTGTGTTATGGACCACTATGTAATATGTTTGAAAGTGCTCCATGTAAAGTGTTCACAATGGTATTTCTAGGAATCTGGTTTTTACATACAGATTTAACTTGGATTGCTTGTAGGTAGTGTTCTTTGTTACACACAGCGCTCCTCCATCATTCTCCCCCTTCTGGGTGGGGCAGTATTCATTTTGTGCTGTGTATTTTGACTGACACTTTGCTCCAGCCTCCTGACTTGAACCAAGTCAAATTCCTGTCCATGTGCACCCAACTGACTCTTGTGTACTTCACTTTGCAGCCACACTCTCCTGCCCCTGCCATGTCTGCCTCTACATTAAAACTGAACATTTGTATTTGTATTGTTTGCTTTCATTCTTCATTCCAATGTACATCGCATTTTATTTCTGCGTTGAATTTCATGTGTCCACTCCTTCCTTCAGCTTATTTGTATCCTCTTGCTGTATATTGCTTTCTTCCTCACTGCATACTACACAAGTACCAACCCAATTTGTCACACCTTCATATATGTGTGCAAGTGACTGTAGCAAAAATGTTCCAAGTATCAAACTCATTATAACAATGACATGACACAAATTCAGTTAAAATAGCTAAATAAAACTTTAATAAGTCTAGTTGCAAATGTACATAAATTGCACAGCCACATATTTAACACAACCAACTTCTTTGTACATTATTACAGGTTAAGTAAGCTGAAGTGAGTCCAGCAAATACTTTAAACATACTTACAAAAGTGTAAGGATATAAAACGTACAACAGCTTTCCAAGGACAAGTATCAGTAAACACCAGTTAATGGAGGTATGTCCCTTAATTCTGCGTTTAAGGACAAAATAATTAGAACTATTTTAAACTGTGATTGATATGCAGCAAATTAAAGTATGGGACATGTACGTCAAATTCTGTGATAGTATGCATTTTTAAATTCAGTTGTAGAAAAGGAGTGATAGGTATTGCTTTCAACATAGCATTTAAAAGCTGGAAATTCCAAAACAAAACAATCACTTTTTGAACTAGAGATAACAAGGTGTAGAGCTGGATGAACACAGCAGGCCAAGCAGCATCAGAGGAGCAGGAAGGCTGACGTTTCGGTCTCCAGCATCTGCAGGTCCTACTATCTCTGAAACAACTTTTTGAACTAAACTGTTCTTTTATCTTTTCTCATGCTAACATTTATAGACAAAGCCAACAGCACAGCATATAAATCCAATTAATTGTAGACGCCCGTGGATTTTTTCATGGCCTGGGAATAATTCTGAATTTTAGTCTAAGAACTGCCCATGGAAATAACAAACCTGCAGTATCCTAAGATGCCAAAAGATGCAAAATCTTTGGCATAATGCTATGTCTGAGGAGACTGAACAGAGTCACCTTTTTTAGGAAAGCTTCTATCTGAAGAAAAATGCTGCAGACCTTCAGACCTTTGGCACCTTGGAATGTAGTGCTGTTTAAGCTCCTACCGCAGTTTGTTCAAACACTGACAGAATCTTCTAAATACGTCCATTTTATTTTCAGTGAAAAATCTGCCCTTGAAGTATTTTTGGTTTTACCAAGTACTAAGCATGAAGTTACAATGTTAAAGATGGAGCAAGTTGTTTTTTTTTTGGTAAGGATAATTGGTCTTTTAATATTAAAGTATGGTTCATTTCAATCGAATTGAAAATTACAAGGTTTACATATGATTTTCTAACATTTTGTTTATGTGGAGAGATCCCAGCAGATGATGGTTCATACCTGGATCCTTGCAAGTGGTAATACATCCCTAGGACTCTCTTCTAAGACCAGTGTCAGCTACCCAATGTTATTGCTAACATACAGCAAAGAAATAGTGTCAACGACTGTGTTAAGGAAATTGGTGACTGTGAAGACACTTTGACCTCCTTCAGGCAGAGACTCTTAGACTCTAGTGACACAGGACAAGATTTTGGGGGTCACTATCTCTGCAGCGGCAGCGGCGCCTCTAGCATACACTGTGGTAAGACTACTTTTTAAATGTTCATTTAATTTTTTTGTTGGTGGGTGTATCTGTTTTGAGGCCTGATTGCTGCTACAAGGTTTTTAGTCTTTGCTTTTTGGTCAGTTTGCAGTTTTAAATCCCTAACTCTCCCACCCCAATCAAGTATTACCCCCCCTCCCACTCAACAATTCTCCTCCCCACTCTCCCACATGCTGAATTATCTCTAACTCTCCCAGATCTTTCGCCCTGCCGCCATCAATTTTCACTCTGTAGTCACAGGATATCTAAGGCATTAAAATGTGATTTACATTGGGAAGTTTGGAGAGCATTACCTCAAGGTCTGTGGCTCTGTTTACTGTACAGGAGTTGAAACCCAGAAAAATGATACCTATGGTTTTTACACATTTACTGTTTTAAGGGCCTTCACAGTTTATAAAATAAATAAAATTAACAATGTGCACTTTAATTCAAATTACAAACATGGTATTTTACTTATTATTTTACATGCATTTAAAAACTGAAAATTATAAAACCTTTTAACTACAAACATACAAAATAATTTTTTAAAAATCCTAAGAAAGGCTGACATTGTTTAATTACTACATGGGTATAGTTAAGAATGTTCTGGTTCAGCAGTGCATTTTAAAAAGATGACTTCTTGTTTCAAATCTCTTTTGACAATGAATTCCTGTTTTATGTTGGTTATAGGATGCATAGCACATCTTATTTTAGCTAGTGGGGAGAATTTCAGGACATTGCTATGTTGTTTTCCCCTTTTGTCTTCTTGCATTCCATGGTAGTGCCTAAATCAGTACACAATCATTCTCCTTTTTTTTTCTCTATGAAACCACCAAGAACTGGCTAGTGGGCTTATTATACCAAATCACTGGTGCAGTCATGATACTTGTCATATGTCAGTGTAGCTAAATACAAACGCAACTTAAGATGCTGCAAATCTGAAAAGTCAATAAGTATAACAAATGGTCTTGAACTACAGAACCACAGATTGCAATCACACAGTGATTTTGTTTGCCTATATAAAGTGGTTTTATTTTGCCACCACTGGCATTTTAGACATATTTTTAACGACATAAACAGCAGTTAAAGATGCAGTCACTCTGCCGCGACTTTGAGACAAGCAGTACCAGAAACAGATGTTAACTATATACAGTTTGTCAGATACATAGGATTTTAACACAGTACTGATGCAAAAATTGACTGACACAGTTAAAAGTAAAAATTTTCAGGAAGAGTTAATCTTTCTCTTGGGTTTTTAAATACCCTCAAAACACACACAGGTATAAATTTTAATAGAACTAATCTTACCGTATCATTTTAAAGATTTAGTTTTAAAATCAGAATTTTTTTTGAAACAGCAGTGTCCATCTGTTTCTCTGGGAGCAGCAGAATATGGAAGATACACCAACACCATCAATTTGTACAGAAAAGCCTTTTATAGTAAAAGGAATTTTTAAAAGCAAATGGTGCATAAATGAAAATTAAACCAACTTAACAAGTTGTCTGAAGATAACTGGGAAGATTAAATAAATATCAGATGCATCCAAAGCAGTGATTCACATACTTAGTGAGTACAAGCCTACTTTCTGCTTCTTTCATATATCACTTTGATTCAGGAGCTGATTATTCAGTCAAAGAATCATGTTGTAGTCAGGCTTTCTCAGTACATAACTTCTATGCAGCACCTCCCAGCGCCTTCAAAGCATTCTTCTGTAAGTTAGAGGATGTCTTTACCTGGTTGAATATGCTGAGTAGTATAATCCAGATAAGTGCACATGAATCCGCATGTTTCCATGAGCTGTAAGAAGTAGCATTTTCTTATAAAAGGCTTCAAAAAAATAAGAAAATCGTATTCCCCAAAAAAACTTCATGTGCATGGTAAAAGTGCAAAATAGACAGAGCTACAAAGCTCGCACATGGGAGTTCAAAATTGGAAAACACTAAGTATCAGTAAGTTAAGTGATACATAACGAGGGGACAAAGTACTATTGCTTCTATAAAACTGGTGTATCATTTAGGTCTGTATACCCAATTATGGTGGAGATAAAGCAATAGCCAAATATCCCCAGATAAACTGTTCAGTGGATCCACTTGAGATTGAGAATATTATAATTGAGCACTAAAAACGGAGAGGCCCAGGAGTAATCGAACAGAATCTGCATTGGTGGAAAACAAAATTTCTCAGCACTGCTTTATGTTCATGGTAATTTCATCATCAAAATCTGACTGCACGCTTTAAGTTGACATTCGGCACCCCATATCTTAAACATTAGAGGTACTCCAGTGCAACATATTTGTCTGAAACTTTCCAAGGTTTACTACTTTTTTCTGATTAACATGCTTTTTTGTCCAAGTGGCCATGTAAAGGAACTTCTTATAAACAAACAAACTTAATCAAAAGATATTTGGACACAAGTTTCTCTGTTACTCTAGCTGTTGCCTATGCTTTAACACACCTTGTGTTGTAAGCACACATGATATACACTAATGGCATTTGCAGATATGGATCATCAAACTAGCAATTGCTGCTGTTTCTGAATTCCCCGTTTTCAGTGATTTGTAGTTTAGTGGGATTGGTCGGGGAGATGCCATTGCGGCTTTGCATGCTGTATCGCTCCTTCAACTGTGACAGGGCACTCATCAATCGGGCATTAGCTGCATCCAGTGAGACAATGCGTTTCTCCTGTTGAAAACAATGTTGTGTCCTTAGTTTAAATGGGTCAGATACAGTTATTGTTTTTACAAAGAGCATACAACTTACACAAACTTACAAAAATAACTATCATTTTATTGAAATTTTCAGCTTAAGGGCTCTCAATTAATTTCTCCTGAATACTGGGCCTGAAGTATTCAAACAAAAAAAAACAGATTAAGTTAATCTCTGTGGCATCTCCAAAATAAGTGGACAGTTATGTTGTCTAGAACCAGACCCCACTACTCAAATCAACAAACAGAGCAGAAGGGAATGTTTCAGGATCAAGCTCAAAATGTTGGAAAGGTTGGGACCTGTGCTGCCTTTCTGAAGTTTCCCAAAATTGCCAGTCCCTCCAACTTGGGGAAAACTTTATGAAGGCAAATATTCAACCAACTGAAGCTAAGAGTTACCATGCATGTTGAGGAATTAGGGGTGCTTTAGGCTTCTGTAAGCCTTTGGCTTCTTGAAAATTTCTTATTTATTCTGTTTTGACATTTGTTTGTGCATTAGTTATGTATCTGAGGTTGGGCTAAATTGTAAGGTCTGAAATTAAGGTCTGCAATTACTTACACAAAAGACTGTCCTTTTTCATAAAGACACTCTTGAAAGCCAACAATCATATTTTAACCTTTTCATGAAGAGTTATTTCCTTTATAAGATCACATTTTGTCTCTCTACGGTTTGGTTATTTTTCTTTCTAAATGCTGAGTCCTATAAGCTTCTCCTTGATCCTTGATCCTTGCCAGTGACTGTGCATAACCACCTGCAGGAGTTGTGTAAAGGCATTTCTGCTGCTTACATGAGAGATAGTAGGAACTGCAGATGCTGGAGAATCCGAGACAACAAGGTGCAGGGCTGGATGAACACAGCAGGCCAAGCAGCATCATAGGAGCAGAAAGGCTGACATTTCGGGCCTAGACTCTTCATCAGAAAAGGCGGAGGGGAAGGGGGTTCTGAAATAAATAGGGAGAGAGTGGGGGGCAGATAGAAGATGGATAGAGGAGAGGAAACAAACAGGTCGAAGAGGCGGGGATGGAGCCAGTAAAGGTGAGTGTAGATGGGGAGTTAGGGAGGGGATAGGTCAGTCCAGACAGGACGGACAGGTCAAGGGGGCAGGATGAGGTTAGTCGGTAGGAGATGGGGGTGCGGCTTGAGGTGGGAGGAGGGGATAGGTGGGAGGAAGAACAGGTTAGGGAGGCAGGGACGAGCTGGACTGGTTTTGGGATGCGGTAGGGGGAGGGGAGATTTTGAAACTTGTGAAATCCACATTGATACCATTGGGCTGCAGGGTTCCCAAGCGGAATATGAGTTGCTGTTCCTGCAACCTTCGGGTGGCATCGTTGTGGCACTGCAGGAGGCCCAGGATGGACATGTCATCTGAGGAATGGGAGGGGGAGTTGAAATGGTTCGCGACTGGGAGGTGCAGTTGTTTGTTGCGAACCGAGCGTA